GGGTGTACCCCCAGGGCTGGGGCCCCGGAGGGAGCCTGTGACGTGCCGGCAGCCCCACTGGATTCCGCTCACCCCTCTGCTTGGGGCCAGAGGAGGTTGGGGCCCAGCACGATGGCCACGTTGCTCGGTGTCATTTTGTTGGCGTCCTGGTATTCCGTCAGCTTTGCTAGGAACTTGATCAGGTACCTGGAGGAGGCAAGCGAGGGGCAGAGGGTGAGGCCGGAGGGTCACGTGGGGGCTACTGGCCGGCAGCCCCACTGGATTCCGCTCACCCCTCTGCTTGGGGCCAGAGGAGGTTGGGGCCCAGCACGATGGCCACGTTGCTCGGTGTCATTTTGTTGGCGTCCTGGTATTCCGTCAGCTTTGCTAGGAACTTGATCAGGTACCTGGAGGAGGCAAGCGAGGGGCAGAGGGTGAGGCCGGAGGGTCACGTGGGGGCTACTGGGCATGTTCCCCACAGCAGCCTTCCCCCGACACCGGACCCAGGCCCTGCCCCGAGCCCCAGGCCCCTCGGCCGCTCTTGGGAGGCAGGCTCCAGGCCCATGCTTCAGCACGGGCCGCAGGCCAGCCCGGCACTGCCTGCCGCCCAGTGGCCTCCCTCGGAGGGTCTCCAAGCAGCTTCGCTGTCCTGCTGTGACTTGTCCCAGGCCATCCTGTGAGGCTGGGGCAAAGCTTCCAGCCTCCCTCTCGACCCCCCACGAGTCCCTCCCGCATGGCTGGCCAGGAAACCCGACCCATTTCCACTAAGCACGTGATGGCCTGCGATCAGACCGCTCGGTAAACGGACTCCAGCCAGCAGCCGGCACCGTGCTGGTTAGCCGAGGACTGGTAAGCATCACCCGGGAAAGCGGAGGCTTACTTTGTAACTGGGTAACCGTCCACATCCCTAGCTCCCAGCAAGGTACAGCTCCCCCTCCCTCAGCCTCTGCCAGGACAGAGCCCTGGGGACCAGTCACCCCCTACCTACTGCAGCAGCACTCGCTGGCGGAGGGGCTGGAAGCCCCACTTCCAGGGGAGCAGAGACCTCTGCTGCCTGTCGGGTTGGGCTGATGTGGCTAAGCATGCAGAGATCTCCGACAGCACTTGAGGAAGGGAACACCCCCGCCCCAGCCCTCTACCAAGGCCTTGTCTCCACAAGGAAATGGCCCCCGTTTCCCAGCTGTTGGTTTTCACACTGACTAGTTACATCAGTGCAAACGGTGGTGTGGACGGGTGATGGCCGCCAGCTTGGCCGACACCCGGGGACTGAGCTACTGGCCTCAGGAGCAAAAAGAACAAGCGGCTACGGACAGAGCGAAAACTCCCCTCCTGGGGCTGCTGCAGACTCGCACCCTCAGAGGCCGGGCACACGCTCCCAGTGGGGGAGGAATGTGCCTAGTCACTGCCCTGAGTTAACGGGGCTGGTTTAAAGCACACCGCCTTTGGCGCCCGTTCAGCGGAACTGGTTTAAAAATCACTCCGGAAGTGAACCCCCCAGTCCCCTCCCCGCAAGCCCACCTGATGTTGCTGTGGTTGGCCTTGGGCAGTTTTTCGCAGGCGTTCCACAGGGCCTGCAGTCTCTTGTCTTGGTCCTGGAGGCTGGGAAGGAAGTGTAGGTCGGGATTAGTCGGTCAGGTCGCCACGCGGCCGGACTCTCGCTGCGCCGAGCGCTCAGCGGCTGTGCAGAGAGGAGGCGGCAGATCCAAAGACCCCGGCGACTGGGGCACCTCTGAAATCTGAACTGGGACCCCACGTTCTTTGCAGCCGTCACCACTCGCAGCCTACGGGCGTCCCGTGCAGAGCGCCGGTGTGAATGCTGGGGCCTCAGCCCAGCTTTGCTTGTAGCATTTACTTCACGTGCTTAGAGAGAAGCTCCAGGCCTGCGCGGTTCCACTAGGGACTGAGCTCGGCAGGAAGTCCTCCAGCCCCCTGTCACGTTACTGGATTTTGAGGGGAGCAGCCAGATCACTGCTGCACCCATGGGGTGTGTGGGGGAGAGGGGTTGCCCCAAACGTTGGTACAAAGGGGCCATACAAGGTGTCAAATGAAAGCTTATCTTATACTGATTCTATATCTGCTATTCATGTGGTTGTATAATGTCTGTGTGTGAAGTTATAAGCATGTACTGTGTGTGGATACCAAATCTTTCTCTGTATGTGGTTGAGCATTGGGCAAAGAAGCTCCGCCTATGGACATGCTAATGAGCAAATCTCTATGGAGCAATAGCCCTCTCTAGGCCAAGGACACACCTCAAGAATGGCGACTGATACCTAGGGGCTACCAGCAGGGAACACAGGGATAGGCCATGGGCCAGGTGACCTGCTGCAGCCAAGAAGAGAGCAGGAAGGAGGGATAAAGATGCCACGGGGCAGCCTCCATTTTGTCTTCAGATCTACTCCTGACCCCAGATGCGGCCTCGCAGGGAATCATGAGCCGGGAAGAACTGTGGACCCATCCGGACATAGGATGTGCACCAAGGACTTTTAAGCCAGCAGTTATAACATCTCTGCTAGAGCCTGCATCGAGAACTGGGAGATTCGATGCATGTGATGTATGATACTTTCACAACCTTACTCTCATGCTTTTCGTTCTTTTAGTAATAAATCTTTAGATGTTAGATGCTAAAGGATTGGCCCAGAGTGATTTGTGGGTACGGTCCAGAGGGTAAATTGACCAGGGATCTGTGGCTGGTTTCTTGGAACCGGACAGAACTTGTTCGGGGAAGGTGAGATTGGGCTCTAAAACCCCTCACCTGTGTATGACACCCGGGGCCGTTTAGGGCACGGATATTGCTGGGGTGTCGGAGGGGTTTTGCTTGTGAGGCTTCTGGCTGGCAGGCAGCTGAAGCGCTCTGTGGGACTGGTTTGTGGCCTGTTTGGGAAGGTCCCCAGTCTGGGGGCTATAGAGAGCCCTGAATTTGAGCAATTCGCCCTGAGCAGATGCCCTCAGCGGTGCCCAGACCCGGCCCGGTAGGTCACACAACCTCAGCCTGGCACCGGGCCATTGGACCAGCCTTCCTCTGGAAGTGTCGCATCCCTCATCCACAGGCACAGAGCCTCACCTGTAGTTCCACATCCCCCCCTGCTAAGCTCGGTCACCCCCAGCCCCACCACGCAGGGTGCAGAGGGAGTCCCTAAAAGAACTCAGCACAACTCTTCACTACCCAAAAAGACCATGACTTTAAGGCCTGACCTCTGTCCCTTCCAGAGCTGGACACGCACGCTGCCTCTCCCCCTGGTGAGAGCCAGCACCTGGCTCTAGTCCTGCAGGGAGCCTGCCAGGCTCCGACGCCCGGACACTTCGGGGCTAGAAAAGCTGCAGCAGGAGTCCATCTTGCCTGCCCTTGAGCCAGGGCAAATTGGAGACAGTTCCGGATTGAGGGGACAAACATCAGCAGTTATCGGAAGCTGCGGAGACATCTGGGATGTTAGAGGGGGCCCGGAGCTGCTCTAGCTAGAGGCAAATTTCTGGGAGAAGCTCCATGACTCTGCAGACGGCGCCACAGGGGTATGAACTGCAGGGAGCTTGATGCGTCAGTGCTCTGCCTGCCCTGCTCGCACCTGCCAAGCGCCCTGGCCCAGGCGGCTGTCGGCCCGTTTCAAACAGGGCTCGAGCGAGGCCCACCGGGTGCCGTTCAGTGCGCGCCGGGAAGGGCTGCGTGGGGCAGTTCGAGTGCTCCAGGAGGCCATTCCAGGCACTGGCAGCGCAGGCTCTGGAGGAACCCTGGGAGCGGAGGCAGAGCACAGAGGACAAAGGTGCCCGACGTTCTCATTCAGCAGGTGGCTCTGCAATGCCCCCCGTGGCAGCGCCGCTCCGCACAGGGGATGTGAATTATCGGTTAACTGAATAGCCGAGGAACCTCGTGAATTCTTGGTCAGTCGACTAGTCTACAGTGTATAGTCCCCGGGGGTGGGGCTGGCAGCCAGTGCGCTCCAGCCCCACTCTGAGGACCCCCCTGCCACTCTGCGCTGCGGCCTCTGTATGAGAGGCAGCAGCACAGGATGCCCGGCGGGAGCTGGTCCGCGAGGGGAGCCAGTTTAAAAACCAGCCGCCTTCACGGACCGGCTGCCTGTCACCTGATAAAGAGGCAGCAGGCAGCCCCTGGTCTGAGCTCCCGGACCCGGTGCGAGCCAGAACTGAGCCGGGCTGCCTGCCTGGCTCCTAATACGCTTTAATTGCAGACCCGGTGCAGTGGCAGGACCTGGACCCATCGCAAGCCAGGACTGAGCCGAGCTGCTGGCAAGTGGCGCCGGGGAACGCGTGTCGTCTATCGCATGAACCTATAGGCTTTTGCTTCTCGGTTGATCGTCTGCGCTTTTCCATCCCTACTCCGCACGGGCTGCGGAGAACACGCTTCCGCCCCTCTTACGCGCGAGCTCCGGATGCCTCGGCTGTGGGGGTGGGGCCGAGGACAAAGGAAAGCGCCTCCGGGACTCACTTGGAAGCTTGAATCCATTCGTCGTAGAGTTCGAAGGTCATGAGAGGCTCTGGAAGCTCTCGGAGATAGGACTTCAGCGCCCCTAGGAGACAGGAAGGAACGCTGGCCAGGTCTGGGGCCGGGCCTAAGGCGTCTGCAGAACTGAGCTGTCACACCAGTCACTTGTCACTCCACTCCCCGCCCCAGGAGTCTGTCTATCCTGGTAAGTGACAGAGCTGGGGGGTGGTTTTCACACTCGGAGTGAGACAAGCTCTTTGTTAACAGCGTCCCTCTAAAACAGAGCACTCGAAACCCTGTCTGACCCCCCAGAGGAAGCCATTAGTGACTCCTCCCTGCAAGTCTGACTTGAACCCGCAGGGGAGGTCCGTGTGGAAGGGCCCTGATGCTTTACTACTCGTCCAGGAACAACTAGCAGCAGTTTGCAGCACATAGCGGCATGGGACGGTACTACAGCTCAGGGCAAACGGGTTTCTATTTCAGGAGCAATTCTCCCATTTCTGTCTTTTTTCTTGTTCTGAAAAAAACTCCCCCCCCCTCCAAATTTCTAAATTTTCTTATGAAACAAAATTCTGAAAAAAAAATATTGCGTTGGGTCCGCCCGCATGTTCCGCTTGGGTAAAGCGGGAATGGGTTGTTCCACTCGCGGCTTTTGAAACGTTCTGTTCTCTCATTTTTAAAAACCAGAAACAAAAAGACACTTCAAAATGGCCGGCCGGCAAGCTGCCTCCCGCCCCGCCTCCGAAAGCGCCTCCGCCTCTTTCAAAACGATGTCGCCAGCAGGGAAACATTTCCGCAACCCATTTTGCTTTCGTGGAATCAGCACTTTCGGGGGAGATGCAATTCTGCTGGAAAACTTCCCACCACACCCGGGCTACAGCACTTGCTGCCCGAGTCCCCGCGGCGGGCGCCGTGCGTGGAGAGCCCCGGCTGGAAGATGGACACCGAGAGAAGCACTAAATCGTGTTTCCCCGCCTGGGTAACTCTGCCCTTTACCTGCAATGGCGTGGGGGTCTGCGGAGTACTCCTGCACATCCACCACGCAGCAGTCGAGAGCCGCTTTGAGCTTCTTTAACTTGGATGCCGAAGGAGCCACCCTGAAGAGCCCCTTGGGGAAAGGAGACAGGAGCGGCGTTAGCCACTGTGGGAAACAGTGACTATCATGGTGGTGGCAGAGCATGGTGCCCCATTGGGAAAGGGCCCCACAGAGCGGCCCAGGTGCCAACGGCATAGAGGGCAGGCTCTGACCTAGCAGGGTCCCAATGGATGCGCTTGAGTAGAACGTCACTGCCCGAGGACGCGCGGAAACACCTTCCCTGGGGCACACCCGACCAACACACCCGATCGGAGTGCAGCTGCACGGTCAGAGCTCGGCTGGTGTAAACCAGCATCTATGGAACAGAGCCGGCTGCCTGGCTCCTGGCACCTCGGCACTACGCAGCTAGGCAGATTAGACATGGCAGAAAGAGGGTTTTAGTGGAAAAGGAAAAGCCTTTCATTACGCCACATCCCTGTGCCGGGGCCTCAGAGAATCCTAGAACACTAGCACTGGAAGGGACCTCGAGAGGTCATCGAGTCCAGTCCCCTGCCCTCATGGCAGGACCAAGCACCGTCTAGATCATCCCTGACAGGTGTCTGTCCAACCTACTCTTAAATATCTCCAGGGATGGAGATGCCACAACCTCCCTGGGCAATTTATCCCAGTGTTTCACCACCCTGACAGGGAGGAAATTTTTCCTAATGTCCAACCTCAACCTCCCTTGTTGTAATTGAAGCTCGTTGCTTCTTGTCGTAGCATCAGAGGCCAAGGAGAACAATTTTTCTCCCTTCTCCTTGTAAAACCCTTTTAGTCACTTGAAAGCTGCTGGCATGTCCCCTCTCAGTCTTCTCTTTTCCAGTCTAAATCCAGTTCCCTCAGCCTTGCCTCACAGCTCATGTCTTCTGGACCTTTCATCATTTTTGTTGCTCTTCTCTGGACTTTCTCCATTTTCTCCTCGTTTCTCCTGAAATGTGGCGCCCAGAGCTGGACACAACTCTCCAGCTGAGGCCCAATCAGTGCAGGGTAGAGCGGAAGAATCACGTCATCACGTCTCACCTGCGCCCTTTGCCTGCCCCCCCCCCGCCTGTACTCCTGGGAGCCCCAGCAAGGCAACGTACCAGCTGCCCTCTTGGCCAACTCTAGGGCTCTCCGGTGCTAACGTCCCTACTCGAGAGCCCGGGTCTCCAGCGGGCGCTGGAGCAGACTCACCCCCAGGCTCATGGGGGATCCGCTGCATGCTGAGCCGTGGCTACGCTGGCCACTGTCGAGGCGCGAGGGGCTGTCTGCTCAGACCCGGGCATGACCCGCAGCGGCACCAGCCCCTTAGTGATCCCTTAGGGGGGAAGCGAGTAGTCAACTACCTGCTAAACGTCAGTGTATCGGGTAATCGAGTAGAGTCCTTGACCACTCCCCCCTCCCCGGGCTGCCTCTGAATGAGAGGCAGCAACAGGGAAGGCAGGGAAAACAGGAGCCAGTGCTGAGGGAAAGTGGCTTAAAAGCTGGTTCCCCCCCCACACTGTCTCTGCAGTGCCCCCTGCCCCCCCCAGGGGAGAGTAGTGGGGAGTGGCCCCCCTGCGAACAGGGGCTCCTGCCATGAAGCATCCCCTGTTCGCAGCAGCCCAGGCTGGCATGGCAGCAGCCTCAATCCACGGGAGTGGGGGTGGGGGGCGAGGGGGACCCTGGCGGTGGCAGCCCCAATCCACGGGGGCGGGGTGAGGGGGTCCCTGGCGGCAGCAGCCCCATCCACTGGAAACCCAGCTCCCCCACTGGGGACCCCTGCAGAGAGGGGCAGCTGCCAGAGCAGCCCTTGCCTGCGCCCAGCCCAGGCCACGGCGAACAGGGGCTGCTGCACCCGGCCCGAGCCGGGCCCGAGCCGTCCTGACGTGCGTGGGTCCAGAACCGCTGCTCCTCTGCATTTTAAATGTAGCAAGAGCCGCCGGGTGCAGCGGGCCAGGAGCGAGCCTGCCCTTACTGGTTAATGGTGTAGTCAATACACACTGCCACCCCCCGGTTCCTTCACGGCTCTCTCTCCGGCTCCCTGCAGCCGGCTGTTTGCCGCCCTCGCCCCCGGGCAGGCTCCGTACCTGGCAGCGTAGAGCCGAGGGGCTTTGCGGAGGGCGGGGTCTCAATGGGCATCAGAGGTTCCCAGGCCCGCAGGGATCGTCATGGCGACAGACACACGTGGGCCGCGGGAGCCGGGGGACGGCACAGAGAGACCCGCGCGGGGGTTCCCGACTCACCTCCTCCTGCATCCCGCACTCCAGCAGCATGGTGACACAGGCCTCGATGGGGAAGGCGATCTCCCGCCCGCTGGCTGCCAGGTGCTCCTCCAGGGGCTTCCCAAAGGAGGGCTTCTCGATCCAGGCTTCTGCTCCACGCAGCCGCCGAGAGCAGGGGAGAGGAACCAGGCGGGTTAGGGGGCAAGGGCACCGCGACTCATCCCCTCCGTCGCTCTGCCAGCTAGCAAGCTCCCTTGGCAGCGGGGCTACCGGGCTACGCATCCCCACCTCGCACCTTTCCGTGTGTGTGTGCCTGTGTGTGCGGGGGGGGGGGGGGGG